TGCACCCCAGCCACAGCTGTAGCTACAGCCCGAGCCCCTGACCCTACCCCTGCCCCACCAGCAGCCACAGCCCCAGTTGCTGCTGCATTCCTAGCTCCCACCTCAGTCCCTGCCCCTGTTGCAACCCCTGCCCCAGCTACAACCCCTGCCCCAGTCCCAGCTGCAACCCCTGCCCCAACCCCAACCCCTGCCCCAACCCCAACCCCAACCCCTACCCCAGCCCCTGCCCCAGCCCCAGCCCCTGCCTCAGCCCCAACCCAAGCCCCAACCCGTACCCCTGCCCCAGCTGCAACCCCTGCTCCAGCCCCAACTCAAGCCCCAATCCCTGCCCAAGCCCAAGCCCAAGCCCAAGCCCAAGCCCAAGCCCAAGGCCCTGCCCTAGCCTCAGCCTCAGCGCCAGCCCCAGTCCCCACAAGTAAGTCAAAGCCTGCAAGTCAGGAGCCTAGTGTGACTCTTCGCAAGGGCAACCAGGAGGGGCAGATCTCAACCAGCTGGGGAAATCTTATTTCAATGGTTCTTAGGAGTCACCCCTTCCCCAGGCTAGAGAGGCCCCAAGGGACAGCCCTAAGGGCAGCTCCAGAGAGCCCTAGAGAGCCCTGTACTTCCACAGCCTCAGAGAACAGGGAGTCTGGTTCTCTCCCTGAAGGGGCCATCCCTGGTCTCAAGGACAGGCATGGCTCCCCAGCTGGGGTGGCTACAGGGGCTGGCACAGGGGGCCTGGCTGAGGCAGGATGTCAGCCGCAGCACAGAAGCTCTGAGGCTAACGAGGCTGCAGTGCCCAGGGCCCCAGCTCCGCTGTCGCTGTCGGAGCAGAGGAAGCCTGGCCCTGCACCCATTCCCTCTGCCAGGCGGGATCCACAGCCTGTCCCCAGGCCACGGAAACACAGCATGTGTGAACTAGCCAAGAGCTCTGAGCTGAAGGCCAGCCAGGCGGCCCCAGGAGAGGCGCCAGGGAAGAGGCCCAGCCCTGTAGGCAGCAGGGAGGTCCTCACAGAGGAGCAGAAAGAGGCCCGCAAACTCATGGTGTTTCTGCAGAGGCCTGGGACCTGGGGGGTGGTGGAGGGGCCCCGGAAGCCCAGCTCCCCTGCCCGGGAGCCGGCTTCGGCAGCAGCTCTGCAGCGGCGGCTGGACCTGGGCAGCTGCCTGGATGTCCTGGCCTTTGCCCAGCAGCATGGGCAGCCCGTCCTGGCCCAGGAGACCTATGCTTTGATGAGCGACAATCTGCTGCATGTGCTGGGCGACCCGAACCTCTACCGGCAGCTGAGTGGGGCCGACCGGGAGCGCATCCTGAGCCTTCGAACTGGCAGGGGTCAGGCGGTGCTGGGGGTCCTCGTGCTGCCCAGCCTCTACCAGGTGAGCCGTCCAGGGCTCACAAGGGGCCCTCGAGTGGAGGAGGCTCCTGCCACAGGTCCTGCGCCCCTGCCTCCTCCATCGCACCTGCACGTGTTCAACCCCCAAGAGAACACCTGGCGGCTCCTGACCCAGGTGCCGGAAGAGGCCCCGCTGCGGGGCTGTGGCCTCTGCACCATGCACAACTACTTGTTCCTGGCAGGGGGCATCCGCGGCTCAGGCTCCAAGGCCATCTGTTCCAATGAGGTCTTCTGCTACAACCCTCTGACCAACATCTGGAGCCAGGTGCGGCCCATGCAGCAGGCCCGTGCCCAGCTCAAACTGGTGGCCCTGGACGGGCTGCTCTACGCCATCGGTGGCGAGTGCTTGTACAGCATGGAGCGCTACGACCCCCGCACAGACACCTGGACCTCACGGGCGCCCCTCCCCGCAGGCACCTTCCCTGTGGCTCACGAGGCTGTGGCCTGCCGTGGGGACATCTACGTCACTGGGGGCCACCTCTTCTACCGCCTGCTCAGGTACAGCCCGGTGAAGGATGCGTGGGAGGAGTGCCCCTACAGCGCCAGCCACCGGCGCTCCAGCGACATGGTGGCACTGGGGGGCTTCCTGTATCGCTTTGACCTGCTGCGGGGGGTGGGTGCCGCCGTGATGCGCTACAACACCGTGACAGGCTCCTGGAGCAGGGCCGCCCCCTTGCCCCTGCCGGACCCTGTCCCGCTGCGCTGCACCGTGCTGGGCAACACCATCTACTGCCTCAACCACCAGGTCACTGCCACCTTCACGGTCTCCGAGGGGACTGCCCAGTTCCAGGCCAAGGAGCTGCAGCCTTTCCCCCTGGGGAGTAAAGGGGTCCTCTGCCCATTCATCCTGACTCTGCCCCCCTCCGACCCGCTACAGACTTCCCTTTGAGCTGCGCCAGGACTGCCGTGCCCCTCTTCAGGCAGACTCTGGGCCAGGCTGTGAGGCGGGTGGGGCAGGGGAAAGGGGCTGCTCTTCTTTCTGGGACGACTTTCCTTTTCTGTTATAATGAGCCTCATGTCTGGCCCTCCTTCCCCTCCTGCGAGAGCCAGGCTCCCTGTACCTGGAAGCTGGTGGCGTGGCGTCCCTACCACAGCCACGTGCCTCCTGCTTTATTATTGAGTCCTTGCTCCAGTGCCTCAGCTTGCTCTCAGGAATCCTTCTCGGCGCAAAGGACCCCCACCGGCCAGGTTCCTGTCACAGCACCAACCACACTGCCTGGAAATAATCTGCCAGGGACCCCGGGGTCCCCATGAACCTGGACTTGGCTGGCTGAGGAGTTGGCAACTGCTGAGCCCAGGAAGGAGATGGCTTCCCTAGGGCTCCCAGCTAGGCAAGAGGCCCATGAGGGGCTGGAAGAGGGAACAGGGAACAAATAAGTCTCCAGAGAAACGTTCTAGCCTCTGGGATTTTCTGCCCGTCCTGAGGCCTTGGGGAACCTGGCTTGACTGTTCCCAGAAACAACTCTTAGGTCCCCTTTGTCTGAAACCCTTGTCTGTGACACTGCTCTGCTGTCTGGAGCCCCTGCCCATAACCCCAGCCTAGACCAGGACTGCTGGGGCTCATGTCCTTCTGCAGCCTTGTGGGGTCTCTCCCACCTGCTCAGCCCCTCCATTTCCCACCCCACTTCCCACTAACTCTCTTCTTACATGAGACCTGGGCGCACCCCAGCTCTGCCCCTTATTAGCTGTGGGACTTGGGCGAGACATCTGTCTTCTCACCTGTGAAGTGGGGATAATGGGCATGTCACTCAGGGGAATTCTGAGAACATAGGTCACAGATATGAGCACCTGGCACAGCCCGCTTTGGAACCCTCCACAGGAAGGAAAATAAATCTGAATACGGCAGCCCGTCCCACCCTCTGACCTGGTTTGTCCCTGGCTGGCCCTTTTTGCTTTTTATTCTATGCTTGTCACTACATATGCTTCATTCATTGGCAGCATCTGCATCTTACACACCCCACATTTTGTTCACAAGGTTTCACATGGAGCTGGGGGGGGACAGAAAGGAGTCCTCAGGATGTGCTTGAAAATAAGTTTATTGAGAAACAGGTGCAATGCATGCAGCTGTGTGTTTGGGTCACTGTTTCTTTGCCAGGCAGAGAAGGCTCCACCCGCTGTGGCTCTGCACACAGACAGACCCAGCGTGGCGGCTGCGGGGTGGGGTCGGGGGCCTACTGCGTGTGCTTGGTCTCACTAAGCAGCTCTTGCCAGTTCTTCTCCATCTCTTCCTTGCAGTTGAGGAAGGCGTCCTCCAGCCGGCGCATGGACTCTGCCAGGGTGGGGTTGGTGCGTATCACCACCATGTCGTAGGCCATCCATGTGGCTTGCACTGCAACAACCAGACAGGCCTGGTCAGGCCACAGGATGGTGCTGTGGTGCCGGAGCACCCCAGGGACCATACCAGGCTGAGTGACCCAACTATTCTAAGGAGAGAAAGCTGGGCAGCCACTTGATACAGGGCTCACAACCTCCCACCCCCACCCTCACCCCACCCCCCGATTAAAACTACTCCCTTCACAGAGCAGTAATGAAACTTCTCTAATCTCACACAAGTCTTAACTTCTGGATATATCAGCCATGACACTAAAAGGCTGCAGGCCAGTCTGATATGAAATGCTAGGAAAAATGAGAGCAAAAGCAGACCCTTACCTAGCCACAGTTCACAGCTAGTGGCTGAAGGGTGACCCTTAAGAAGTCTTAACACCCACCAAGCTCACAGGCTCAGGTATGGCTGACCACTCCCACTCCTGCAAGGCCCTGAGTCTCATGTTACCTCGTGCTCAGTGGCCTGAATGCCTGTCCACCTCCACCCGGGCATCTCTGTGTTTTAATTAAAAGGCCAGTCCAGAGCTTCTCCTTCTGGGAGGGTTTGCTGCACCCCACATTAGGTGTCCTCTGGTGCTCACACTACACTGACCGACTTCCTTGCCTTTTCCCTTTAAGAGCAACTTGAGGGCAGTGTCCCCTGGGCCTACAGGTGGACATGTGCTGCCTGTACAGAAACTCCACCCCCTTTTCTCTGCAGTACCCCCCCCCCATTAGTATGGCTCTGCCCTTGAGAACTACAAAGAACGAGGGTCCTAGCCCTTCTGCATGACAGGAAGAGGTGTTAGGAAAGGTATGCGCAGTATCTCAACAGACAGAGGGCTATGACTGCACAAGTGCAGGAATTCTTGAACTTTTGGAAGCACGGTAGTTCCTTGGGACACCTGTTAAGATGTAGACTGCTGGCCCCTCCTACAACTCAAAGGTTCTGTCTAGCAAGTTGGGAATGGTGCCCAGAGACCTGCATCTTAACAAGCATCTGGATAATTTTGGTGTGGTGGGTGGGTGGGAGGGTGGGGAGGCTGCTGACCATTCTTTCAGACCAACTGGACAGCAGGTGGAACATGAACTGAGAATCAGAGTTTTACTCCAACTCTCCACTTGCTGGCTGTGGAACCTACAAGTGACTTAAACTTGTTCACCTCAGCCTTCTCATCTGTAAGGGTCAGACAACGTCCCAATCTCATGGCTCCCCTTGAAGATTAAGTAAACTTCCTAGCACATATTAGGTGCTCAAGAAAGAAGAAACTTTTACTATAAAATAAATAATTGAGGTAGTTAGGGCAAAGAGTTAGGGTAGGTAAGAAATTAAAATTCAAGATAAAAAATGCTCACAGAAATGAATCTCATATAATCCTATAATGCAGCTGGAATTCCAGCTGAGTTTCCTAAGGCCAAAGCAGAAAAGGAAACATGATCAGCTACAAGACTCAGTGACCATAAAATAAAAACAAACTCACTGTTTAAGAATCTTTTATCCTAAGAAAAAAAACTGTCCTATAGGTATATTTTATGAGAAGTGTAATGTAGTTGAAAATGCCCTTGATGACATCCTACCTTAAACGCAGGGTATTCTTCCATGACTATAATTGTAATCACAGGTGAAAGAAAGCTAGTGGCATAGCACCAAAGCACAGTTCAGAAAAGGCACTTCAATGAGACACCAAAACACAACAGCAAGTTCACAGCCCTCTTCTGATTTGATCCAAGAAAAAGTATATAGAATACATAGAACAGAACTCAATCACCAGAACACTCTCAAGCAATATATGTCTCGAGTTTTCATTCATTCAGTATTTATTGAGCACCTCCTTTATGCTGGCATTTTATCAGGCAGCCATGACAATAAAGCTGTACAGAGGATAGACACCCCCTACCCTCATGCAGTATCTATCTATACTAGTTGCAGTGGGAGGAGACAGATAAACATACAAGACAATTTCAAATTGTGAAAGGTGCTGTGAAGGAAATAAGTAGTATGTGTTGTGATAGAGAAACGGGGTAGGAGGAGTCATATTACAGGCCAGGTAGTGAGGGCAGGCACCCTCTGGGGATTTTTGGTAAGGATTGTGCAGTAGCAAAGCCAAGGTCATAATCAGTGGAGGGGCCTGAACAGCAGGTATTCTGAGAGGCTAATCAGAACTTGCCTGTACACTTTGAAAACCCACTGGGTAAAGCCAAGGTCCTTGCAAGGAAATTAAGAAACAATGGTCAAGTTGTATGCTGTGAACTCTGAGGACCAAGAACTGCTCCTGGTGGCTACCTGGGCAAAAAAACAAAACAAAAAAAAGCAGAGCCTAGCAGCCATTTCTGCATAGAAGGGTTCTCAAGTCAAGGAGAAGCCTCTGCACTGAACTGCCTGCCTGCACTGTATTGCTGCTAGCTGAGCCAGCCCTTATAAAGAAGTTCCTGGAATCCTATTTCAACCATTAGGACTGAGGCTTTCCCAATCCAATCAGAGCTGTGCAGCTCAGACCAATTGGAGCAGCTCTATTCTGACCAATCAGGGACGAGGGGCTGGGACTTCTGTCTATATAAGCCAGCTCCCAGCCTACCAAAGACTGCCCCTGAACACTACCTCACAGCAGAGCTTCCTTGCTGAAGAGGGGCCTGGCCCAGGGCAGCTGTGATGCAGTACTGTGGAGCTGTTCCACAGCAGTACTGTTTTCATAGTCACGCTGTATTACCGTGGAGCTGTTTGCACCAAAGAAAGTTTCCTTCTTCACTCCAAATTGGGGATTCCTGTTAGCGTTTGAATTGGCACCAATGATCATTGGTGGACAGCACCTAGATGCAGAATTTAGTAAAGGATGAGGATAGTGTCCCAAAAATCTGTTTAGGAGAGAGAACTAACTAGTGATACAGTAAGTGGATTTGCTTTGGGAGCCTGGAAAGCAGAATTGGAAGACAGAGAGCACAGGGAATGAGACAAGAGGGCTAGCTGACCAGGAAATGGGATGATGACAAGCCTGGAGGTCACAGGCCACAAGCTAATTCAAATAATTGGCAAAACAGACCAACCAACATTTTAAAATGTAAATGGGTGAAATTCTACCAAATTTTGAAAGAACAGTTAATGCTTATCTAATACAAGTAATTCAAAAAATTAGGAAAGAAGGAAGACTAATAATCTCACTATATGGGCTGGTGCAAATTTTTAAGAAAAGCATTTCCTAGTGGCATTCCACTTATGTAGCAGAAAATTTGAGAATAGAGATAAGAAAAAATCCTATATAATAAAAGCCTAATATGCTAAGTGTTCGACCGTTCATTCGACCGTTCGACCAGTCGCTATGATGTGCACTAACAACCAGGGGGCAGAGGCTCTGACTGGTAGGTTAGCTTGCTGCTGGGGTCCAGCCGATCAGGACTGGATGAGAGAGGCTGGACACGCCCTGGAGCCACCCTCCTGTGATCCCTCCCTGGCCTCTAAAATATTTCTTCTAATTAATTTCCTTTCAATGTGCACGAATCCATGCACTGGGCCTCTAGTAAATACGTAATTTTCTCTAAGCTGGTTTATTCCAAAACAAAAGACAACATGAGAAAAATTGTAGGTCTACCTCATATGAATATAGATGTGAAATCCTAAATATAACATGAGCTAATGAAATCTAACAGTGTGCTAAGAATATGTTATGATTAAGCAGGATTTGTGAAAGAAATTCAAGGATGCTTAAATATCAGAAATTCAATCACTATAATTAACCACATTTATAAAAAGAGGGAAATAATAGAAATATCTCAATGCAAAAAAGGCAGGTAATAAAGTTTAATAATACCTATTTGTGATTTTAAACAATCAAAACTCTAACAAATTAGGAAGAGAAGGAGACATCTTTAACTTACTAAAGGTGATATACCAAAAACTTATGGCAAACTCATATGTAATGGAGAAACTGTGGATACATTCCCTATAAGACTGGTATCAAACAAGGGTGCTTCTACTAATATTATTGTTATTGGATATGCTGGTAAATGGAATAGAAAAAAAGAAATAAATGGTGTAAGGATTGAAAGGTAAAACTATCAGTATTTATTTATAAATTATAAAAATGTATCCTATATAATAAAAGCCTAATATGCAAATTGTCCCCTCAACTGGGAGTTCAACTGGGAGTTTGACCAGAGATGGGGCCAGCCGGCCAACCATCCACAGCCCCTCCCTGGCTAGTGGTGGTGGCAGGCAGCTGGGGGAAGGGTGGCTCTGGCCAGCAGCCGGTAGCTGGCAGCCAGCAGCGGCTAGGGACCCTAACCATGCATGAAATTTCATGCACTGCGTCTCTAGTATGAAAAAATAAAGATTTAAAAACTAAGTCAATCTTAAAAAATAAAAGTTAAAAGAGGGAATATGCCCTATTAGATATCAAGACAACTTATAAATTCCTATTTTAAAAATAGTGTGGTACAGACAAATAGACCAATGGAAGAAAAAAGTAAGCTCAGAGATAGACCTAAGTATATATGGGAATTTAGCACATGATAAAATAACACACAAAAAAAATCAATGAAAAAAGGATAGTGTACTCCAGATATACTAAAGATATAAGTATGAAAGGTACAAATAATATTTATAGATCAAAATTTAGCAGGTGTTGGGATTTCTTAAAAACCACAAACCATAAGGCAAAATTTGGTGGATTTATTTTTATGAAATTTTTAAGACTAAGGACAATACGGACAAAGTTTTCATAAAAATGGTAGAATATAAGAAATTTATAGTGCATAAAGCTAATAATGGGTTAATATCAAGAATATATAAGAAACTACTTCAGCCCTGACCGGTTTGGCTCAGTGGATAGAGCGTTGGCCTGCGGACTGAAGGATCCCGGGTTCGATTCCGGTCAAGGGCATGTGCCTTGGTTGCGGGCACATCCCCAGTGGGGGGTGTGCAGGAGGCCATTGATCAATGTTTCTCTCTCATGGATGTTTCTGGCTCTCTGTCCCTCTCCCTTCCTCTCTGTGGAAAATCAATAAAATATATTTTAAAAAAAAGAAACGACTTCAAATTGATAAGACAGGAAATTCAATAATTTTTAAAAAAACCTGAAAAATAACAAGTATTAGTAAGGAAGTGGAGAAATCTTGTACACTGCTGGAGGGATTATAAAATGGTGCACCATTGTGTAAAACAGTTTGACATTCCTTAGAAAGCTAAACATAGAATTACCATATGACCTAGCAATTCTACTCGTAGGTAATACACCAAACAATTGCAAACCAGGTACTCAAAACAAATACTTGTACACATGTGTTCATAGCAGCACTATTCACAATAGCCAAAAGGTGGACATATCCATCAATGGATGAATGAATAATTAAAAATATGACATTCATACAATGGAATATTATTCATGGATATAAAGGAGTAAAGTACTAATACATGCTACAATAGAAATGAACCTCGAAAATGTTATGCTAAGTCAAAGAAGCCAGAAACAAAGTGTCACATACTATTATATGAATCATTTATATAAAATATCCAAAATAGGTAAATTCATAGAAAGTAAAAACAGACTGGTGGTTGCCAGGGGCCAAGGATAGAGAGGTATGAGAACGACCACTTAATGGGTACAGAGCATTCTTTATGGGTGATGAAAATGTTTTGGAACCAGACAGAGTTGGTGGCTGCATAACATGGTGAATATATTAAATTTCATCAAATTTATACTTAAACGGGTTAATTTTATGTTATGTACATTTCACCTTAATAAAATATTATTTAAATTTAAGCTGTAGATACTACTAGTATAATTATCTTTACTTTTCAGAAGTGGAATTAGCCAGATTACACAACTAATAAGTGGCACAGGCAGCATTTGACCCAGGTAATCAAGCACCAGTGTCCATATTTTTAAGTATTTACGGTATACTATTTCTTATGTTCCATAAGAGGAAACCCAAAAGATTAACAAGCATATGAGAAGAGTCTGGAACTCATCAGAGAAATAAAAATGAAAACACTCAGCTATCATTTTACACGCATTATACTGGCAAAATTAGAAAGCTGGATAATATCAAGTGTTTGTGAACTTGTGGTATCTAAGAACCCCTAGGCACTGCTGATGGAAGTAAGTTCTGAATCAGACATTCTGTGAGGTTATCTGGTAGTGTCCCTAAAAGTATTGATCCATGGGCATAGATGTATGAAGATGTTCACTGCAGCCTGGTTGCCCCCACCTGCCCTCCCCTGCTGGCCCAGTCACCCCTACCTGCCCTCCCCTGCTGGCCTGGCTGTACCTAACTGCTCTCCCCTGCAGGCTTGGTCCTCCCCAACTGCCCTCCCCTGCTGGCCTGGTTGCCCCCAACTGCCCTCCCCTGCAGGCCTGGTTCCCCCAAACTGCCCTCTCCTGCAGGCCTGGTCCCCCCCCAATTGCCCTACTCTGCCAGCCTGGTCACCCCTAACTGCCCTCCCCTGCAGGCCTGATCACCCCCAACTGCCCTCCCCTCCTGGGCTGGTCCCCCCCAATTGCCCTCCTTTCAGGCCTGGTCCCTCCCAACTGCCCTCCCCAGCTGGCCTGATCACCCACAACTGCCCTCCCCTGCTGGCCATCTTGTGGCAGCCATCTTATGATTAGATAGGATCATTTGTCATTTGCTGAAATCCCTTGAGCTTTAGGTCTGGTACTGTGTGTGTGACCTAGTTAATTATTTCTGCTCTCAAAAAAGATTAACAGTCCAATTGCCAGTAAATTAGATGCAAACCACATAAAAATAACTAGAAAAATAATTCAAAGGCCACTATTCAGTGGAAAAGTGTCAATTTCTGTGGCACAAATTGTTACATGGTATAGAAGTTGAGAGGTGGTCAGGGAAGGCCTTAGTAAGAAGGCACTTGATTGGAGCTTGAAAGTATAGGGAGAATGTGAGCTACTGGAAAGAAGGGGCAAGGCACCCTGCCTGGGAAAACAGCCTACCTGAGATTTTCTCCATCTCTTCCAATATCTTTTCCAAGTCTTTATTCAGGTCGGACAGCATTTTCAGCATGTTGTCGCAGTTTCTTTCCCCAGGGTCAGATTCAGCCATCTAGGCCGAGCACAGAAAGAAGAACAGAACAACACGCCTCTTTCTGTTGGCCAATCGTATCCCCTGCACTTCAACGAACTTGTTGAGATTACAACC